ATGTTATTTGCATCTAGGTAATCTACCATTTTCACTTGAATTATAGCTTTGGTTCCATGCAGATGTCTGTGTTCCATAACCAGATACAGATGACCCTGCTTGGTAATTCTCCAGCCAATCTGACACCTTCTTGCTGACCAGCCGATGTCCCAGTTCTCCATCCAGTACTGAATGTCCAGCTTCAGAGGGGGGTGGAGATTGTTCATTAACTGAAAAACAATATAAACAACAGTCTATGTTACAGTGATAGTGCAGAATATAAAAGCTGGAGGTTACTGAAGAAGTAATTAATGGGGTAATGTCCTCACTGGGAGTTATACACATATATGTCCTTAATAATATCCACACCTCATAATTTGTTATGGCAGACATGATGAAGGAGGGACGATCCAGAAAAGCAGAAAACTAAGGAGCCCCGGGGGGTTAAAAACAAAACAGGTAAAACAAGAACTAACTATAACTAACCACAAAGAAAACTAGCACTAAAATACAAATAAGAAGGCAGGTGGGGACTGAGAAAGGAGCAGATCACTAATAACACAGGAACTAACAGGAAGTAAGACCAACCGGCACTTAAAGTCACTGGAAAAGGGACAGATGAGAACCATAACCAATTACCAAGGACTCGGGGCAACGAGGAGCAGGTGGGGCAGGTCCAAACACCAAGGGAAACCAAAACAAGGAAAACTGGGCAAACAGGGAACAGGGGGCAAAAAAAACCAAGTAACTGTAACTGAAATACATACTGCAAACACGCGATAAGCCAAGAGAACACAAAATAACAAATGTTAATGATGACAAGCCACAGCCAAAAAAAGGATTCTGGGCGATGGGCGACCGCTTAGCCCCTTAAGCCATGTGACGGCACAGGGCACACTAGGGTAACCCCAAACGGGAAGGGCAGCGGGAACTGCTGCCCAAACAGGGAGAAGACATGTGGGACAGGGCTAGACGGCTCTGATCCTGACAGGAATTACATGATACATGGATAATTCTGTGTCCCACTTTTGGACCATATTGTCACAGACTTTAATGAAACTTTGCATTCTAATTTGGTTGTAGGAGTAACCCATGGAAATGAAATTGCTTGTCTCTTGGAACAAAATTAATCAGTCAATATTAATATCTCCAGAAAATGTGGCCTTTGGTGTTAGAGTCGTTGTCCAAATATCACGGCTTATAGGTGCTTCCCATACTATTTTTTGTCAAAATGGCTGATATGAAAAAGGCCGGGTTGTGACATNCTTTGGTGTTAGAGTCGTTGTCCAAATATCACGGCTTATAGGTGCTTCCCATACTATTTTTTGTCAAAATGGCTGATATGAAAAAGGCCGGGTTGTGACATAAAACCATGTGATGCAAGGTAGTGTGAGCGTGTAAAAAACAGCTATGGAAAAATTTGTAACACACATTAACATATGGAAAATGTAAAAGAAAAAAAAAACAGAAAAACTTACAACATGGAGGGTTTGAAGGCAAACTGCCCCTCATCTTCCTTGCAGATTCATCAACCACCAGTAATGACATCTTCTCTATCAGCTCTTCTTCTCTTCTGTTCATTTCCTCCTCAATCTTTTGTTTGATCACTTTACTGATTCCTGCTCTTTCTAATGACTCTTCCCAGGATTCCATCCTTTCTCCCACAGTGAAGTGACGTCCACTGTTTCGAGCCACCAGCTCCTCCACCTTCTCCAGCAGCTCAGTGACCTGAGTGACATCACCCCTCATCTCATTGTTGAGAACATGATACCTGTTCCCACATTTCCCAACCAGCCACCGGAGGGCCTCCCCTTCAGCCTCTATGTGCTGCTCAATAGTTCTGTCTCCCAGCCGGTCTCCCCTGGTGAACAGCACTATAGTGTGTCTCCAGACTGTCTTACTGAGAAGCTCCAGATGTTCCTCCACTGACCTCCTGTCTGTCTCTGTGAATGATGCATCTACCCTTAAAACAATGAACAGAGCACAGGGTCCTCGGGGACACAGAGACACACTGTGCACAATCTCCTGTTTGTCCAACTCTGGAGTATTTTCCACAGACCAGCTCTTCCTCCATCCTGGTGTGTCGACCACAGTGACCTGCCTCCCAGCCACTTCCCTCTGTCTCTTCACACACTGTGCAGTTCTTCCCTCAGTGACAAACTCTTCTCTTCCCAGGATGGTGTTTCCTGCTGAACTTTTCCCAGTCCACCTCCCTCCTAACAGAACAATCCTCAGCTCTGAGAGATCTTGTGTTTGCTCTGTGTAAAAAAAAAAAAAGTTATAAACACATTAGTTAGGGCAGAATTTTCATGAAAAAAATCCCTCATAGGATGATTACACATAATGATATTTTTATCAGCCCTTATCTTCATAAAATAGAATAAAACGTAAAGGTGCAATATGATACATTTGACTCCTTTGCAACATTAAAGGAGAAGCTGATAGTTTGAAAATCCAGATGTTGAACATGATTTACAGGCTACAGATGCCATTACAGTCTTAATGTGTCTTACCAAAAAAAGTCTAATTATATGCAATTCTATAAAATCTCTGACGCCCACAAACTCAGTTACCTGGCCAGTTATGAAATGTGAGGTGTTAACATTCGCAGTATATT